TAATAATAGTAGTAATAATAATAGTACTATCATCATCAGCATCATCATCATCATCATCATCATCATGAATAGTAATAGTCGTCGTTGTCGTAGTTGTCGTGGGATCATGGTGATGACGATGGTGGCGATGAAGACTTACAAGTGGAGACTAGGGCCACTATGGAGGCGGCTAACTGTGTCCTTCGGGGGTGCTGCTACCTATGACTCCACAACGAAACCCTGCTTGCTATATGTGCCGGTGATCCCTAAAAATCCTTCTGCGACAGACCTTGAAACTACCTAGCCCTGAACAGGAAATTCGGCTCCTGAAGGTTGGTTGTACTAGGGTCCTCCTTCTTGCTCCTACTGCTGCTATGGTGCGGGTCTTCATCCCTTAACCCCAAACCCGAAACCCTAAATCCTAAACCTTCGTCCCTAAGCTTATAAGCCCCAAACCTGCGTTCTCTTTTGGTCCCTTTGTGTAGGCTGGGAGGAGATGTGAGGGCAGAAGTAACTCCTTGGTATGGAAATTGCAGGCTTTTGCTGTTCGGCACGGTGCCCCGAAACTTGAAAATGGAAAAACGGCTTCATTAGCACATGCTCAGGTTCTCAGGACCAACCACTACACGATGTACCTGGAAGTTCATGGGTGGTGATAAAGAGGGGGTTGAAGTAGGGTAAGTAGCTATGCTACTGGCTGTTCGCAGCCGCTTCTCCTGTCGGCCATACACCTTTCAGTCTTGTCGAATCCCAAATTCATCGTGACTGCCAGCATCTTCATAGGTTTCTGATACACGTGATGAAACCCGACAGTCACCATGCGAGCCATCAGTTCGTCATCATCATGCACGTCGTCACCACAATGTTGTGATCATCATGTCCCCGACCCGAAGCCCCTCAAACCAACAGAAGATCCCCGGGCAAAAGTGTTGACAGCCGCCAGCCCCCGATAGTTTCTTTACACGCTCACAGTTATACTTGGATATACCACCCAAAACCTCAAATCCTAAACCCTAAACCCTAAACCCTAAACCCTAAACTACGATCATTGATTCAACTCACAAGTCGCTATTTTCCGGTAGCTTCGACTCGGTCCCTTAGCCCCTAACTACGGGAACCCCCCTACACAGCCCCACAACGCCCTTACAAAGCCCAGGGTCCTTAAAAGGAAGGTCCTGGTATATCATCTCAACATGAGCAACCTTAAGTTCATTCGGCATAGACCTGTTAAAACCCTTCTTTAGGGTTTAGGGTTTAGGGGTTTAGGGTTTAGGGTCTAGATTCAATGATTCAACCCTGAAAAACCTTTGCAACACCTGCGCAAGTAAACCTTCTGACACACTGATACCGAGCCTCTTCCAATACAGCCCTATGAAACCCGTATATAACTGGTAACCCTAAACGCTACGCACAAAGAACCCCATTCTTAAATCAAGCTCTGTTGACGAGGCTTACAGAAACCCTCGCCGCCCTCCCGATGCAACCCTGAAAAGTCCTTCTATCAATGCGGAGCCCCGTGTACACCCCAAAGAACCCTTGTTAACCCTGATCAAACCCTCATAAGCCCCTGCATACTGTCCCGCCCAAAACCCTAAACTCCTAAACCCTTACTAAACCCAAACCCTAACCTCCTAAACCTTTACTAAACCCTAAACCCTAAACTCCCAAACCCTTACTAAACCCTAAACCCTAAACTCCCAAACCCTTACTAACCCCCCTAAACTCTTACTAAACGCCATAGACCTGATCTTAGGGGCTGAGTACCCTAGCCCAAAAAAGGTGAACCTTTTCAATTGTGGTAGGTTTATATAAACCCCATAAGGTTAAAGGTTACCTACTCAGTCACTACGTGATACCCAGACTCCAGGCCCCACCTCGTCGCCCTCCTCGCCCTCCACCTTCTCAGTCTTCTCCTCTGCAAGGACCTCTCGGTTTAGGGTTTAGGGTTTTAGGGTTTAGGGTTTAGGGTTTTAGGGTTTAGGGTTTTCGGTGGCAAAAACCGACTCTCCGATGGCGTTGAAGCTCTGTGTGTGTGTGGGTTTTTACGGCATGTTACAGGGATTCCTGGGGGTTTAGAAAGTGTATGCCGGGTTTTTTACGGGTTTGGGCCACGAGGTCTGGGCTGGAATTTAAGAGCCGAGAGTGTTTGGGGTTTTGGGATCTTCCAAGCGTAAGGCTCAGGGTTCTTGCTCAAGGGTCTTGCGTTTGGGATATTGAGGGCGTTAAGAAGAACTTTAGGTTTTGTAGGACCTTCCGTTTAAGAGCTGAATGTCTGGGTTCGGTTCGGGAGTCCAGTTTGGGGTCGCAGGTTTGATGCTCCCAAAGGTTAAGGGACTTGTGTAGGGTCTTAGTAGCTGAAGAAGGGCATGTAGGCTAGGGCCGTCCATGAGGAAGGTGTTGTCCAAACATCTAGCGAGGGCTTCGGGTAAGCGGCTGAGGGTCAAATACGGGTATGAACAAACTGGGGGTTTGAAACGGGAAGCGGTCTCTGTGCTCACAGTCTAAGGGGTCACTAAACCTTATAAGACCTTAACCAGAGCCAGAAGGACTGCAAGTTCAGCCCACTTGTGGTACCACAGGTTTATAGGGATTAGAGTTCACGCGCTGTGAAAGACGCGCTACGACACCCTCAGGGCCTCTGACTCTGTTGGCCAGCTGCGCCAATCGTGTCAGGCCCCAACAACCCTCGGAGCATCTGCTCCAAGAAGGTCTCTGAGAAGTCTCAGCAATTCTCCCAAAAACTTATAGTAGATACTTAGGGCTTAAAAGGGGTCCCTATATAGGTACTTTAAGGCCTAAGTATCTACTATCAAGGTACATGGAGCCCTTGGATCTGCTGCAAAGGGTGGCCCGAGCCACGCCGCACGAATTCTCCACGATGGCGTGCACGGGCACCCTTCCGACCCCTGCGGTTTAGGGTTTAGGGTTTAGGGTTTAGGGTTTAGGGTTTAGGGTCTCTTCCGACCCCTGCGTAATGGCACCCTTCTCTCGGTCGCAGACTACCAGAGGAAAGGTGCGCCAAGTGGCAACAGACCTAGGGTGTTGCTTCTAAGCCGCATGCAGCCCTTATCTGTTGGAGATGGTATACACCTTAATTATTGCTGATCTCCATCACTAGCAGGATGGAGTAAGGCTGAAGCTTGAGGAGTTTACGGTATCCGGCCAAAACGGAATCAAATACACACATCCCAACCCCACGCATCGCTCCTGAATTACACGGGCAAACACCCTGAACCCTAAACCCAAAAACTCCCCAATAGCTTGATGCAAAACACAAGCAAAGGGGACCAGGGACCGGGGGCCCATGGGACCAGGGACCAGGTGGCCAGACCCACCAAGGGCCCCCGGACCGGGCCAGACCTCGGAAAACAGAAACCGGGACTCACCCTAAACCCTAAACCCTAAACCCTAAACCCCTAAACCCTAAACCCTAAACCCTAAACCCATTAAAAACCTGGAAACCCGCGGCCTTCGACTCCTTGCAGAGCAGCTGCCACCGCACAGGCCTCGGCGGTTCAAAACTTGCCTTGCTTGGGGAGTATTACGCTTGTTATGAGGTTCGATACAGGTTTCCATGCAGGCCTTTGCTTCGTAGGCTTTACAAGCGTTGTCTGGGATTTGGGGATTTAGGGATTTGGATTTGAACGAGATTTTTGGGCGTAGAATCTCTGGTTTCAAGAGGTTTTCGGATTTACTGTTCCCAAATCTAAACGGATTGTAAAGTCGGAGGGTCTAATTAGGACTTAGGGTGTAGGGTTGGTTGTATGGTTGAGGGCTTGTTCTAACCCCCTAAACCCTGAAACGTTACGGCTTCTAAAGCCACCAAGACCCAGGCATGCACTCACCAACCTGTTCCTATGGAGTCCAAACCATTCCGGACTGAGGTCTTCTCTAACTTAGGGTCCCTTTTAGGGCCCCCTTTTTATAACAGTGCCGTTCTATTTTTGGGGACCGAAAGCGGACTCCCCACTTGAGAATCGCTGCGTCATGGTTCGGGTCAGACGGTTCAGGGCCTTGGTTTTAACACTTACTCTTCCCTAAGGGCCCATGTACTCATATAGTATATACATAGGCCCCAAAGTACCTATATAGGGACTACTTTCGGGCCAAAGGCTGAGGGACCGCTGGTCGCGTCGCGCCTATTGCATGAAAACGAGTTCGAACTCACAAATGAAAAAGTCACAACTAAATGTGTGTGTATATATATATATACATATATATACACAGTCAGACCTACATACATATAGTTACTTACATACGTACATACATACAGACAGACAGACAGACAGACAGACAGACAGACGGACGGACGGACGGACGGACGGACGGACAGACAGCTCCAGCTTCAAAGCTGAACCTCCACACCTATAAGCATCTGCACACGTGTGTATCTAATCCCTAAACCCTAAACCCTAATCCCAGCTAATGTCGGGGCCTTAATAATTAGACTAGGGCTCTATGGGTTTAGGGTTTAGGGTTTAGGGGTTGAGGGGTCCCCCAAAAAACAGTATAGGTAATTACTAAGGCCCATAGATTACCTACATCCGGGTCAACCCTGAACCTCTGGAGGCCGCTCTGAGACATCAGCACTGAGCTCTCGTTCTTGATTTTCACCTTGTGACAGATGTGGGAGTTAGGATTAGGGGGGTCTCTTGGGGATATAGACTCTCTCATTAAGGTCCCGTTTAAGTGAGCCATAATAAGTGGGGGTTTCCGAAAATAGGGGACCCTAATATAGTACCCCACATAATAGGATCCTTATTATAAGGACCCCAAAATAAGGTACCCCTAATTTTCGGAAACTCCCAAGTAGGGTTAAGAAGGGTCCCCTGCCGAGGAAGATGGCTCTCATGATGGTTCTGAGATATCTGGGGTTTTGGGGGCTTTAGGGTTCAGGGCTGAGGGTTCAGAGTTCGGGTTTAGGATATGGGGGCTTGAAGAGTTCAAGGTTCAGGATTGTAGGGCTTGGGTTTAGGGTTTAGGGTTTAGGGTATAGGGCTTATAAGGCTTAAGGTTCACGATTGTGTTGTAGGGTTTGCGGTGCAGTGCCAGGTATCGTAGCTTCAATTCCGGCTGGATGCTACAAACGTCAGGAAGTAACAGGTTGAGCCACTCAGCTCTTCCTGACTCTAAACCCTGCGCTCTACTACTCTAACCCCCCCTACAATGTACTGTATGTAGGCGCCTGTTTTGCAATGAGGTTCCGGCATACACGAGAGCATTATGATATAGGGGACTATAGTTAAGATCATTATGACTTTGCTCCCACGCTGCAGGCTCCCATGGTGGACCACTGCAACCTCCAAACAGCTCTGCAACAGCTTCGCGCATGTGCTCAGCTGTGCAAACCCAAACCCTTCAAGGGCAAAACCCATATCAGGGGACTTATAATCGCGCTTATAACTGCCCGCGAACCTCCAAGCAACCCCCGCATGCCCGGAATCCTTAAAATAACCCGATGCCCAATAGCCTACCCATAGGCCCTAAAGTAGTTCCTTTTTGGGGTTCATATATAGAATCCTATAAGGTAACCCCAAAAAGAAACTAATATGGGGCCTATGGGTAGGCCCCAAGCCCCGAACATGTCAAATCCGGGCCCTGCGCCCGCTGATCGTCGGCACGGATGTTCATCATCAGTCTGCCGAAATCCACCTGCGGCCGGTTAAGGTTTAGGGTTTCGGGTTTAGGGTTTAGGGGCTTCCAGCCAAGCAATGATGGTAGCTGGAAGGGTCTCCAAAACTTGAACAACCAGCATAAAAACATGAACACTAGAGAGCCATATCCCTCAACTCTGAAACCCCCCAAAACCCCCTAACTCTGAACCCCCGGAAACCTTGTTTTTGAGGGGAACTCGCAGGAGTCTTGGACTCAAACAAAAAGCCAAAACCCCAAACTCTGTCGGCTTTGAAGAGGGTTGCTATGATCAGAACAAGGCTTTGGGGGATACTTCCAGTATATCGTTCTAGGGACTATAAGCAGATAGTGCTATGATGATGCTCTGTAGCGCTGTTAACTACATAGGCCCCTTTTCACACCCGAAGCTGTGGATCCACGGACTTGTTCCATAAGAACTGGCTAGCAAAGGTATCTACTTCGAACGAAAGACGGTTTCAGAAGAAATGACCCTAGAAGACAACCAGAACCAAAAGCCGCCCAGCCCAAAACCCGATGTGAGTAATGTAGGGGCCTGAATAATTAAAATAGGGTTTTGGGGTATGTTATACCATAATTATAATGAGGAACCCCAAAGTAGTAACTATATAATTAGGCCCATATATTATAACCCCAAAGTAGTAACTATTTGATTAGGCCCATATATTACACTGGATCCTCTGGAAACAGTGGATCTTCTCTACACACTGGTTCCTCTCCGGCTACTTCTTACAGTCAAGAACTTTGACCAGAGGTGCCCCCGGCAAGGCACCCTACAACATGTCCTGAAGCGTGAACCTAGAGTCGTAAACCCTGAAACCCGCAGACCCTAATTTAACTCAGAAATTCGCCACTGAGACAACCCTTAGACAGCCAATACCCCACACAAATCCGCTCGAACTCATTTCGACCCCAAGCCGCCAAAACCCCATGCCTCTTCCTTCTCCAAAGAGAGGGCCGGCACTTCTCCAACAGCGCAAAGGTTGAAGGCAACCTTGGGGAAATCTCTGAAGGCGCAGGGCTCGGGGCCTCAGGGTTTCGGGTTCAGGGGATTAAGGTTTAGGGGTTGAGGGGGTTTCGAGTTTAGGGATTTAGGGTTTAGGGGGTTTCGAGTTTAGGGGTTTAGGATTTAATTAGGGGGTTTCGGGCTTAGAGGTTTAGGGTCGTGCAGGCTCTGAGAGGTTTCGAAGCCGAAGACTAGTCTCCACAGCCGTGAGTGCTTTTGACCACCCTAAACCCTAAACGGCTGATTCCCTTGTTGTCTCCTCCTTGCTGCATGGGCTCTGATTGTCAGAGGCTCCCGGGAGACCGCTGGTAGAACCCTCCCAGACTTCCGGTTTAGGGTTTAGGGT